ACGAAATGAACGGAATGGCTTCAAATGATCTTTAACATCAAGTTGAAAATACTTAGCTTATGACAATGATTTCAAACCGAAAGTTTTTAAGTTCAATTGAATTTTCTATCAGTTTTGTAAAGTGTTTGTGAAAATATGTTGAATTTTATAATTACCTAAGCCTTCGTGCATTTCTCGTTGCAGTTCAAGCTCCATTGCGTGTTCTAAAATTTAAAACAAAACATATTTTTATGTTATTGTTTGCCATAACGATAGACATCTATCGTTACGGCAAAATTAATAACCATATGATTGCTATCATAATTTAAAAACTAATGTAAAAGCCGTGTGTAATGTTTTATAAATATGAAATAAGAATTACGGATAACAGGGTCTTCATTGAAGTTTTGTTCTGAAATTAAAAAGGAAAACATTTTATACTTGTGAACAACCAACAACTATATGGAAATATTTTCAACTATTACCAGGTAGTGCAAACATAAAAGTCAATTTCTCTGAAATTATGATTACAAAAAATTAATTTTTAAACAATATTAGATAACTTAATTTCATGTTCCATTATAAATTTAAAGGAGAAAGTCAAGGTATAAAATACACGTTTTTATAATAATAAGCAAGTTAAATATTCAAATAAAAAATTGAGTGATTTAAATTTAATATTTATATCACTCATAAAGTTGCATTGATATATTGTTTTTACAAATAATTGTATCGTTTCCAAAACATTTTTTCTGCTAGCATACTTAATCGGTTTTTTTGTAGAATAATAGTTACCCATTGTGACCGCATTTTGACAAACAAAATGTGTTATTTTGCCACGAACGGTCCCTAAAATATATAAATAATTAATTGAGTTAATAAAAAAAATCAAATGAAATTTTAATGCGACATAATATGTAGAAAAATGTTCTGAATAGAAGTACATTTTAGTTAAACGTGGCCCATTTAACTCTAGTGATAAACCGTGTTGGAATTTTATTAGACAATTATTCTATAATATCTATTCTAGATTATCAATCATATTGTACAAACTGAATTATTATATAATCATATTATTCGTGCGGGACACTCTTTTGAAAAATATTGCATTATAGTGCATTATTTGAGCTTTTTATCCTCATCAAACCTCGACTTCGCCACTGTTGATAACTCCTGGAGTTCTTCGGTAAAAACCTTTTTTTTTAAATACAATACACACACAAGCCAATAATCGGAAACATTTTTTTTTTGTAGAGATTATAGCTGATAAGTACAAATTATCTTATAGTCAGGCAAATGGCAAGTACAAAAAAAACATTAAACTTATAGTATTTATCATTTTAAGTATGTCTTACTTTGTTTAACATGTTTCTTAATGAATGTGTCTGTAATAAATTATGTATAAAAACTGTAAGTGGTAAAACTTAAAAAAGTATTTTGTAAACAAAACTGACTTGTAGTATGAAGCCTCTTTCTATTCTCTAGATCGGCTGATCTTTCCATTTCGACTAATTGTTTATCGTCTTCTTCATCTGTAAAAAAGTTATTTAATTTTGTTTAGATTTATATAAACCTAAACCAAGTACCCTGAGCAGGAACTTGTAAAAACGAATTACATACCACTACTTGCCAATACGTTTAAACACAGTACAACACAGCACAGTAATACATACAGAACTTTCATTTTTGTCTGCAAATATTAATTTAAAAATGTTATATTAGACGGAGGTATACTTACAATGAAAACTAAACGTTTTTTGCACAGTTCCTATTTGTACATTTTTTAACTCCAAGCAGTATTATTTCTTTCTCGTTATGTTTACTTACTTACATTGCTTTGACAATTAGTTAAAACTTCTATTGTTATAAACATGCCGGTAAAACATCATGGTTTTCTTACATTGATGCAAAGATTTCTTTACAACAACATATTAGATACGATTACAGAAAATATTGAAAAACGATTATTGACAAATGTACCTATACTAGTTATAAAAAATAATGACTTTACACGCATTTCAGAGTACGGTTGACTTGAATAGAGTAGTTTTCGATAGAAACTACACAGATGTAGAGGCCTCTTAATTATGTCAAGACATTCTATGTCTATTCATTCTGGTAGCCTAAGACAACTGTCTTAAAACAACTGTTGTATTTTACAAATACAATTTTTAAAGTTTTACTATTTTTTTTTTTATGAAAAACAAATGTTTTTTTGACTTTAACATGTATTATTATTTGTCTTTTTGAACGTTTCAGTTAACTTGCATACCTTATTGTTACATATATTATATCGAACACAGATTTTGTATTAAAACCAATAATAATACTTAAACAAACAGTTTTTTGACCCAAGTATGTCATGTATTCTAGTTAACACATTTTTTATTACTGTGTTCATATTATCTGATGTATTAATAAATAAATTAAATTCCTCTTCATTCATTAATGTGTCACAGTTAAGAAAAATAGTATCGTTAAACATTTTCTATAAAATCAAATTAAATGTAATAACATTATTGACATAATTAAGAGGCCTCTACATCTGTGAGTTTCTGTCGAAAACAACTCTATTCAAGTCAACCGTACTCTGAAATGCGTGAAAAGTCAATAATTTTAATAACTAGTATAGGTACATTTGTCAATAATTGTTTTTCAATATTTTCTGTAATCGTAACACGTAAGAAATGTAAATGTTTACACTAGGACAATTTATTAGAAAAATAGTTATTTGGCACAATGGTTTTCATACATTACAGTACATATACATATACAGAGTTTATTATAGGCCACTCAATATCTCACTTAGTTCAATTAATAATTTAATATTCACACAGACACTCATCTCGGATGACATTACAATATCCTGTAATAAAATTGGGACTAGGACATCCAGGCTATGTTAGGTTAGCGGTCAACACAGGGTCATACGTGGATCATTTGACGTTTCACTAAAATTTCATATTTTTCAAATCATCCAAAATGAATTTAGTTAATATTTATTCAGCAATTACTAAGTACCTTTAATAGGACTAAAAAGTAATTTAAAATAAATAAATTAAAAAAAAAAACTCTTTTAAAAACATGCTTTTCTAAAAAATAGAAAAAAATTAAACCAAAATGTAAAAAATAATTTTACTACAACAACAATTTACCAACGAATATTGTAGAACATTTTATTTAAAATGTCATTTACTTTGAAAACAACCGTTAAACATCTTTAATTGTTTTACTAAAAAGAAAAGTGTGAGCCCTATTCAACAAAGTCTAGATTCATTCAGTTAAGTATTATAAAATATATGTGTTTCTCACATATTAAACCTAATTTTAATTACTAAAAAACTTACAGTATAAAAAATTATCTGAAATGTTAACTGATTAACTTATTATAGACTTGGCTGAATAAGGCCCACGCTTTTCTTTTTAGACAACAATTTAATGTTTAACATTATTTAATATTGTAGTTAATTTTCGGTTGTTTTCAAAGTAACTGCTATTTTAAATTAAATGTGCTACAATTGATTGGTAAATTGTTCTTGTAGTAAAATTATTTTTTACATATTAGTTCACCTTTTTACTATTTTTGAGAAGAGCATGTTTTTAAATTGAGAATAATCTACTAAACATTTTGACTGATCGATAACAAGTTTTGGACAACTATTTGTGAAGTACTTATACTTTTAATATTAATAATATGTGTACCCAACAATTTCTGGTGATATTATTCAGTTAGTGCAAAACACTTGTTTAAAAAATACATGTTTTTTTTATGTTCAATATGTAAACATATTGTTACTACCTCTGGAGGAACAGCTAAAATAAATATCATATAAGTATAATATGGTATACAAAACTAAACAAGTGCTGAAAGCCCTACACTAAAATGCTAAAAAAACAATTCACATAGATTCTAAATACAATAAAATATCACGCCAAATTATTCTATACAAAAACTTATTATAATAATAAATTATCACACCAAATTATTCAAATAAAAGTTCTTTGTTTAAAAATGAATTTGAATAATTTTTAAAATTATCATTTAAATAGTCTGTAAGTGATTTTTTTAAGTAATTATATTTAAAAATATTATTTTGTAGGTATACATCATTAATATATTCTACATTTAGAAAATATATAAAACCAGTAAATATAAGAAAACAATTTCGTATATTACTTACTTAAATAATTGCAATAGTAGTTATGCTGACTGCTTCAACGGTTTGTATACGACTTATCGAATGGCTTATATTTTGTTGACCGAAACAATAAAAATCTAGATGTATTTTGCAATATTGTTTATGCGAATTTGTTAACATAAGCAACATTAGTCATTTTTTGTTATGAATAACATATTTATATTATTCTGAAGCATACTACCAAGTAGGGTATAATATTGTGCTCAATATTATACAGGGTGATTTTTTTTCGGATTAGGTACGAAAATATGTGCGCGCAAAAACATATTTTTCCATGTTTGTGTTATTTTGTTAGGTTTTTTTTACAGTAAAACATGTTTTTTAGCAATAATTCAAATAATTTTTTACGATTTGTGCGAAGAAACCAATGTACAACAGCATGTTTTTCTAAGCTCGTGTTGATCTTATCGATACAGGGTGTCCCGTCAGGTTTTAACAACACCTTGAATTTAGATTGAGAACACTTTAGGCTATGATGCACAAAATGTATTTCATCAAGCAAATGTATGAAGGTCATTGTAACAAATGAACATAGATTAGACTTTAATGTAGTTCGATAACACAATAATTATACTAGTTAATAATTGTCTACTATGTACAACGCGAGTATGAAGTGCTCACAAAAACAAAACGGATTTAATTCTACAACATTGATTAGTCAAAGCTCCTCCACATAAAGTCAATAACAATATATAATAGCTTATAGGGAAATAACTGAATGTTTGTAAAATGTTAAAATATGTTAAATCAAGACATATTAAATAGAAGTCGCGTTGTTCGTCTTCCAGATCTAACTATTCGAAAAAAAATGAAAGGTTTTTTTGGTCATTTTGTTTTTTAAAAAAAATAAAATTAAACACCCAGTTGTCGTTAAGTTAAATTTTCAGTAACTTTAAAAATAGTTATCCAAAACGGGTTATCGACCAGTCAACATTTTTAGTACATTATTCTCAATTCAAAAAGTGAAATGAAATAAGAACAATTTTTGTAAGAACAAATTATTGTGAATTCAGGATTTTAAAAATTCTCAATTTTAAGGACGAATATTTAAATTGTTAATTTTCACTTGGGGGTGGGAATGGGTTGGGGGATGGGTGTGGGGGTGGAGGAGGGTGGGTATGAGGTTGGAGGCATATGTTGTATTCACAACGTTCAAACCAAAACTGAGCTAAAATGAATCTGAGAGGTCATATTTGTATGAATTCTTTTAAACCAGATAATAAACAATAAAATATTAGCCAGAAACTTGAAATGTTTTAATATACTAGCTACTTTAGATACTAGCATGTTACTGCTTGTTAATTATGATAAAGTACATTATCTAAAATTCCACCACTACTCGTAATTTATTCGGTACTTCGACGAGACATGAAAATGCTCTTTCGTGGTTGCAGACTCAGCTGAAAAATGTTTCTCGTTCAGTTAACTATTTAATTTCTAATAATTATACCATACCATTAGAACCACTTTATAATCTGCATAGTTGTTTTGTTGGTTGAAATTTCAATAATAACCTAAAAGTAATATATTATCCGATGCTTACAAACTAGTATATGATATTATAATTACATACAACTGATTGGTATAAAAAGTTTAGTACAAAGCGTTTAAATATCAAACAATTAAAAAATAAATAAATATGAACAATAGATTTTTAAGTAAAATCGACTTAATATTACACAAAAATATGTATATATATATATTTTTTATACTAAAATTATATATATTAACTATAAACACAACTATATGTATATATATATACACATACACACACACACACACACATACTACGCTTACCGGTAGTCCCTGGTACAAAATCTATTATACAATAATTTTAAAGATTTAATTATTTAATTGTAACCGCTTTATTTCAATATTGTATATTAAATGATTTTAACTACCAGATGTTTAAGCTAATTAACATTAATAAAAACAAAAACACATTTTGTGTGTAATATTAAGACGACTTTACTTAAAAATCTATTGTTAATATTAATTTATTTTTAATTGTTTGTTATTAAACGCTTTGTTACTTTTTATACCAATCAGAGTTGTATGTAATTAATTAACAAAATTATTTTTTTAAATTGTGCCAGTTTCAATGCGTAGGATAACATTTTTTTATTAAATTTTAAATTGGTGTGCTCTTAGAAGCGTTCTATTGGAAATAGAAACATATATTTTGTGCAAAAATAGAGGCTATATGCAATACTAAAGATGACAAAATTTGTTTTAAATAGTTAACTTTTTGCCGTGTTTTAATTTTAGTTTTTTGAAAATGTTAAGGGTGAAGTAGATTTTTTTAATATTTACTCCCCAAAGAAAAATTCGATAAAGTTTGTGCTTTATAGAGCTGCTTCTCGAAGGTATTGGTCTAGTATTACAAAAGCTACAGTGTACACACAGACACAAAAATAGATCACATTCTTGTAAAATCAATAGCCTCTCAATCGGACTGGAAATAGGTGAACAAAAAAAATTAGATGGAAAATAGTTGGCTAGAAAACATGTAACAACATGCAAATATTCTAAATTTTAGTTATAATATAGAATAATATATCAAGCAACAATAATTAATAAGTTAAGTTACCATCTGACTTACAAATACAATTATTAAAAAATACATATTATATCCATTACTTATTTATAACATTTAAAAATATATTTTATGTAGGCCTTAAAGAACCATAGAATATAATATCCCAATTGATTTTTGACGAATATGATTGAATCATAAATATTGTCACTTGTGGTGATTTTCGCCAGCATGCACGAGTTTGTGTCTAGTGAAGTTGGATTTATAAGCAAATGATTTTAAACAAATGGCACATTTGTAACGCTTTTCTCCAGTGTGGACAAGTTCGTGAACGGCGAGTTGGTTTTTCCGAGAAAATGACTTTAGGCATACATCACATTTGAAGGACTTTTCACCAGTGTGCACAAGTTCGTGTGTTATGAGGCTCGCTCTTTGAGTAAATGATTTTAAACAAATGGCACATTTGTAGGGCTTTTCTCCAGTGTGGACAAGTTCGTGAACGGCGAGATAGTCTTTCCGAGAAAATGACTTAAGGCATACATCACATTTGAAGGGCTTTTCACCAGTGTGCAATCGTTCATGTGTTATGAGGTTTGATTTAACAGGAAATGACTTTAAACACACTGCACATTTGTAGGGCTTTTCTCCAGTGTGGACACGTTCGTGTTTTACGAGATGGTCTTTCCGAGAAAATGACTTTAGGCATACATCACATTTGAAGGACTTTTCTCCAGTGTGGACACGTTCGTGTTTTACGAGATGGTCTTTCCGAGAAAATGACTTTAGGCATACATCACATTTGAAGGACTTTTCACCAGTGTGCACGGGTTCGTGTTTTGTAAGGTTCGATTTTTGAGAAAATGATTTTAAGCAAATGGCACATTTGTAGGGCTTTTCATCAGTGTGCACGCGTTCGTGTTTTGTGAGGCTCGTTTTTTGAGAAAATGACCTTAGGCATACAACACATTGATAGGGCTTTTTACCGGTGTGCACGCGTTTGTGTATAGTAAGGTTCGATTTATGAGAAAATGATTTTAAGCACGTGGCACATTTGTAGGGCCCTTTTCCAGTTTTTACGTGTTGGTGTTTTGTTACGATGGATTTTGCAGAAGATCCTTTGATCTTTTTATTCGCTTCATTACCTGTACCATTGACACTACAACAAACCATTGTCAAGTAATAATTAATAACGTTTTAAAAACAAGTTATTTATCTCACAAATTATAAATTATTTGTATTATACATTCTGTTATAACTGAGTAAACATACCAATTGTGCAAAAAGATAAACTAGTAAGATTTGACTAATTCATCCAGTTTAATATATATACAAGGTAATTTTAACCCATCCTTTAGTGACTTATAAATTTACGTTAACGAACTTGCGTTACCAGCTAAACTCAAACTCTTTTCAAACATTTTTAACATTAGGGTTTTAACTCATAAAGGAAGGTTGAAAAATTAATCACTGACAAATTAAAAAAAAAAATAATAACTGATTTGATTATGTGAATACCCATAATAGTCTATTTTATAAATTGCAATTTTTTCATTATTTACCCTTAATTTCGATTATAATGCAATCCTTATAGTTGTAACTACTAGTTTAAAATTATTTAAGCGTTAAGATGCGAATTAGTCTGTATATTCTTAAACAATATGTGACTAAATTAATAAAAACGATATCGCGCTTTTATCTAAACAACAATAATATTTGACAACTATATATTACACCAAATAATAATTTGCTTTACCTGAATTTATTTTTGACAACTTGTTTTCTAATGCTATTCCGGATTTTTGAGTGTTCACTGTGCGTCAGAGTAATGTGTCGTGTCATTTTCTTTTTGGTAGCGAATGACTTGTTACATAAATCACAGACAAATGTACATATTTCGTCCAAATCGTGATTTGTCGTCGGCGTACCAGAGAGATAATTTTCTTCAATTTCAATTACAGACTCAAAACGATTACTACCCAAAACGTCTACCTCAACTTTCATTGTGGTTTTGCGGCACGTACTGATGTCACTAAAAACAAAAAACAAAATTAATTTTAAAGCTGAAAAAAATAATTTAAAAATATCTGTTAAGAATCATGCAGCTCTTGTAAAAATTTGATTTATCTAAAATGTTCTATGTGCTTCGTATATACAATATGCATATCTGTTAATTAATTTAAGGTCAACCCAAATTTGAAAAGTAACACTTTTAGCTTCAGTTGGATGCTAAAAAGTTAGTGGTTTTTTTTTTAACAATATTGGTTGATTCTTTTTGTAATCAGATAAATACAGATAATATTTAAAATACTTCTGCACCTATTTAAAAACAATTACAAAACATAATCATATCCAAATATTTATCACAATATTTAAAATATTTAATTTAAAAATCACATTACTTATACGCATATTCATCGGTTGTTTCCTCAGATGCTTGGGTAAGCTGCTCTATTGACTGTTTATTTTCATCCTCTACTTTTATCTTGGTCTCCTGGAAATAATTGTCCATTTTTAATTCTCATTTGGTTCCTCACTAAAATAACTATAAAAAGAAATTAGATTTAATAACGGAACAAAAACACATGATTTATCTTAACAAAAAAAAGTACAGCCCGATTTTAAACTCATTTAAAAATCAAAATACAAGGTCTCACATAAATAAATAAAACAAACATAACCATAATCATATTTGTTCAAAATGTTAACTACAGTTTTCCTACGCCAAAAAATAAAATCTGTTTCAATTCTCATCTAAATAATAAATGTATATAAAAATATTTTTTATTTTCTGAACAACGTAGATTATACTTGTTAAGAGGACGTCGCAGTCAAATATTTCGTGTACTAAAACACCGCTTCGGACTTCAAATAGTACTCAGAAACTATTAATCGTAGAATAAATCTAAGGATACCTAAAGAAAGCCTGGAATGTCTACTATGTGCGTATAGAGCCATATTTCCAAAAAAAAATTGTTTACTCATAGTTATTTCAATAAGAATTTTTACTTTTTTCAAACGTTCATAAAACCATTGTAAATAAAGTTATCGAAAAAAACTCTCTATAGGCACGTAGAAAAAGTTCTGATCTTTCATATGGTACTATAAACAATTTTCTACCACCAAAAGCGTACGAGTACTATTTGAAGTGCGAAGGGATGTTTTTTGAATTTTTATAATAATTATTACGTCGAGAGCTGGCGCGCCTAGCGGCCAATTTACTACATATCTTTATACGTTCGGAAAACCGGTTTTGGGCCGACTGCCGTAGCGCGGCGACAGCGATAACGTCAACGGTGACACCGCAATTATATTATTACCTGAAGTAAAAACAGATAACCCAATTTTTAACAATCAATTCTCAATAACAAACAAGTATTATATTTTACTTGCGCAGCGATACTGTTATTTAATAATTGCTATTTTATGTTCATTATTTTATAGAAAATTAGCTGAAGAAGCCAGTCGCTAAGTCACTTGTATGAAAAAGGTAGCAATTGTAGTAAATTATAATTTGTAAAAATTGTGATTTAAAAAATGGTTTAGGGAACGGGGGAGGGAGGGGGGTTATTGCACACTGTAAAAAAACGGAAAAATATTCAAATACCTCTCCGAAAAACCGAAACATTGTAATACAATGTTTACACCCCAGACCAAAATTAGTGTGGGGCCCCCTCCCCTCCTCAGACCAAAATTGGAATTTTTTAAGTTGCTATGTGTAAATTAATCAACAGTCAATTTTTAGTTGCAATAAATCATATAGATCAGTAATGTATTTTAAACAACATTTTGATTTTTGGGGGGTCTCCATTTCTTTTTTGTATTACCTGGTGTCCGTAATTTCTATATTCTTATTTTTCGTAAAGACGGTTTTTTACTCTCAATCTAAGCCACCCCCCTCATTCAATGCCGACCACTAAAAACGTATTTATCTAACATAAATATTTGAAAAATGAATTTGTCAAACGGTCTAAGTGCCAAAGTATAAAAATTGAACTTTATAATTTAAATTGTATTTTATCCATTACCGGTGTAGTGCACCGGTCGGATGACCGCGTACAAAACACCGTAAACGACCAACGTTTGTAACGAAAAACTAGGAGTAGGTTTTTTAATGAATAAGTTAAACTTTTGAATTAATTGTAATAGATATATAATAATGTTTAATAAATTTGATATAATAATAATGTTTAATAAATTTGATATAATAGTAATGTTTAATCAATTTTGAAGTTAATAACTGAGTAGTGCAATCAGTCCTATCGTTAATTGACTACCGACTACTCGACGCCGTCGCTCTACTCGAACATAATCAAATAATCAATTAAAAGAATAAAGTATAATTAAATTATTACAAGGGAACACCCATTGGTCACGTCTTAGTGACCATGCATAGACGCGAAAGAAGGACATGCCCTTATAGAGACCCATGTGCACTACGTGGGTTTACTACACCGGAATGAATTTTGTAAATTTCAAGTAAGGAATAGATATTTATTAAAAAAAACAATCATATTTAAAACTCAAAAATATGTTATGTTTCCGCTAGTAAAATAAAAAAAATCAAATTATAAAGTTCAATTTTTATACTTTAGCACTTGGAACGTTTGACAAATTAACTCTTCATTTATACTATAATTTATTTTTCTATATAATTACAATTTATAAATTAAAGAGTATTACTCACAATATATTTCAATTATGATTTCGTATTCTATTTTTTCTATTTTTTTTTTATAACAAAGCTAAATTCCGCAACAATGTCGGCGGTGACCACCATAATTTTCGGGATAACAACAGATAATCTAAGCTTATCTAATTACCTATATTACTTGTAAATATTGTAGAAATATGACTTTACTTGGGAAATACTGTATTTTTGTTGTACAGAGAAGCCACATTTTTATTTTTCCTATTGTGTTGTGTGTTTTATAGATAAAAATTATAATACAAAATTTACATATGTACACATTGTTTTTTTATGAAATAGTATTAGATTTATATATAATTATTATTTAATGAAATAAATCATAGAATATTATATATGACCCGTCCAGCACTTAAAGTTTATAACGGATACTCGTACCATTATGCAATTATTATTCTATTGATGAATTTTTATAAACATGTTTTCAATTATTAATTTTGGATTTCTAAATGAATTATCAGAAAGCTGAAATGTTTTACATAAAATACTGATTTTTAATGATTTTGTTTGGTGACCTATAATACTATAAAAAAAAAAAACAGTAAAAAAGAAAAAAAACTAAAATATTCATTACGACCATGGACAATATAGGCTAAGCAAATTTGGAAACACGTATTTTATTGTAACAGACATGCAAAATAAGTATGCTCCAATATAAATGTTAATAAGTAAGTACGCTATACGATATTATGAGAAAATTATTTATACGCTAAAAAAAAGTAATTAAGTTATCAGAATGATTCAAACTATGATGGGTATTGTATTTTCTACTCTGTCCATTGTTATATAAATGGTAATGAACAGTAGCTATAAAAAAAGATTTACTCGAGATTGTAACACGCGCGCGAGCTCGCGAAGTAGCGAATGTTTACCGCGACGAATCATACGTTTCCAGCATAATATTAGTTTTTACTAGATCGGCTGTCGGTGATAGAATAATGTGCCGCTCTGATAATACTACAACGCGCCGCCGCAGCACTCGTATGGGCGTGACTATAAACCGCCGCCGCCGCGCCGAGACGGAGAATAACGCCATCTCTCGGGAGTTGTATACGTAACACTTTACCTGCGACGTCCTCTTAAGAAAGAAAATATACTTGGTAACATAAAAAAATTGATAATAACATTAATCAAACTATTATTAATATGATTAACGGTAATTGGCTTTTGCCATCGCACCAATTGATGTTATATTTCTCGTCATAATATCGACTACCCTATTAAGCAACGCAGTGTTTCACTTTTTCCAAATTTTTTCAGGGAGAGTAAAATGAAAATTTAAATATAATTCAAATTTACGTTTATGAGAAAAAAATAATTTTATTTCTAGTCTGTTGAGATATAAGACTATTTCCGTTAGAGCAAACCACAATCTAATAATATAAGACGTTGACTAACTTGGTACAAAGATAAGTCAGTATAGGTTGTTTAAAGATGATCTATAGCATAATATGAGCAGTATATCATTCATACATGTATTATTAATATTAATTGTTAATAGAACTCATAGTTAACAATAAAATAGCTAACAATGTATTATCAATGGTTTATAAAATTAAAAAACAAAATTGCGCAGCTAACTACCACTACCACTACTACTATTATTATTGTAAGTTATCTTGCCGACTTCAAAAATTACATTACATTTTATATATGGTTTGATAGAAATATTCTCATATTTTAATAAATATCACCATTTGAAATGGCCTTACTCTGGTCGTACATGTTGTCAAATGCAAGTAATTGAATAACACACAAAACTTTTCTCACAATGTTCTTAATCGTTCAGTAGTAGGGGTGCACATTTATCAAACATAGGAAAAAGTGTTTTTTATTAACGAGGCCAATTTATTAAAGAAAAAAGGTGGCATCTGCTGCATAATATGGCTGTAGTGACTAGAGTTATCGTGTCTACAGCTGTTGATAGCGATTCTCACTCTACGAGTCTAAAATTGATGTACGCAAGAATCGTTTAGACCGTTTTAAATATCACTGTCGTACTTGTATACTACTTATGTAGATTACTAATCAATTGGTTAGGACAAATGAAACGATAAAAATCAACCAAAACGTTACTCGGTACTTACTGATACGCGGCTACGAAACCCTCGGTCGGAGCTCCTAGGCACTGAACTTAAAACGACAGGTATAAAATCTTAAATCATACACTTTAACGAAATTTAAACAATTTTCATATGTAAACACACAACATTATATTATGAGTTTTAAAAAAAATAATAACAAATCCACCTCGGTGTTGACAGTCTACTGTGTATACAACCTACTTGATAAGAATGTGTACAATAAGTGATAACTGCGGCGGCCGCGATGGCAGGCTGTAGGTATAAATCAGTGAAGATAAATATTTCAGCGCGCGGGATCGGGGCTTAATTTTTAAATGTCAAGTTGATCTCACACATATAAGGTTATGAGAAATAAATATATTCACTAGAACAAAAGTTACCCATGCCGTATTACGCAACTCTTTATCGCTACTGTTATTTCTCGTGACACTTATCATGTGTGTAGTTCATATTTTATACTACATTTAAATTAACTATATATATATACACTTCAATACACACACTATTCATTTCTACATAGTCCGACCTTAATTGATTTATAATGGGGTACTATTATGCAATCATTTGTTTATTTATTTATATTACCTTCATTCGTTTATAATATGTATATGTTCTAGTAATGTTGGATAATCTAACGATGCTAATATTTTTTTACTTTGTGCACTGACCATGCGACCGTCTAGTCAATAAAACTGATTAACACTAATTCATCGGGTGCCAAATCTGGTGTTATACTCAAATAGGTTTTTAGTATTCAAACTTATAAAACAAATTTAAAAGTATGTAAAACAATACTTACAACATTTTAATGAAACGATAATTAATAATTTACTAACGGTCATTTGTCTTTTGAGTTTGTAAAGAAAAACTGTTTTTCAAACATACTTACACGTTTTGTGTAAGTATATTATATAATATATAAGCGATGGCCGCCGTAGGTAGAGTGTGTTATATTGATATCTATCTATATATATAAAAATGAATATATATATATGTTTGTCCTAGAACTGACTTTTTTAAAATCTTATTTGTAATTGTTTTACTCAGCCCTGGCAAACTAAAGCTGGGGCAACGCCGGGTCAGGACAGCTTGATATAGTATAAAATATAGGCTTAATTTTAATATTATTTTTGTCTAAATTGTTGTCTCGTTATATCTGGAGAATCGATAAAGTTAAAATATGATTTTGGCTTTTTTTAGGCAGGCGAGCCAGTTCACAGACAATAAGGACCAGAAGAACTTGACCCACAAACGTTATAAGTTACTTTATACTGTAAAATATTTATCAAATAATTATTCTTCAATACTTATTATATTTTGGACAAATCATTTAGTCTACTATATTGAAAAGGTTTCTACTAGCGCATATGACGTGTACAGGCGTGCATTAACCCTGTTTTATAATTATATATTTTAATGATGTCCATAGATTTATCTTCTATATATACATATATATTTTTCATTATGTAATATTAAACATATTAATTTTACAAACATTTAAACACTTTAACCTTATTTAGCCATTTTTTCAAATGGATATAATTAGTTAACACAATTAT